AACAAAGAAAGCACTAGTTTATCAGTGAATTATTAAAATGTTAATGCAGCCTACTTACTGTTTTTCCCTGACACATTCATAATCATAGCTTCTGCGGTGCGCTGTGGCAAGCTTTATGAGTGCGCTTGAGCGCTTATTAGGCTTTGTAGGCAATTAAAGGCTCTTTATAATGATTTAAATGTTTTATTAATAAACGTGCGATTAGTCGACTAATGCTTAAAATGGACGACTACTACTCAACCAGAAAAATCCTTAGTCGAGGGCAGCCCTACATATTAAAATAGAAAACAGTTATTGTAAATTGTTATTATGGTTCAGATTACTACTGTTTGACCTGTATTTTTAATCAAATAAATGCACCCTTGGTGAACTTCTTTTAAAAAAACATATTAAAGACCCTAAACTTTTAATAACTTTAAAAAATTTCTAACCTATTAAACTTTTAACATACATCCATATCAGTGGCAGTTTGCCAGGAAAGGTTGTTACAGTGATAATACCAAAGATCCCTTCTGTAATGCACATTTTATGTTATATAAGATATTTCAGTGACTTTTAAATAAATATTGTGCACTTTTGTGAATGTGTCATTTACTGCCATTAAATTATATAGTAATACATATCTACTCTATGCATCGACACCATAACAGCCATTGGTCACCTTGCTCTCTTAGCTCAGCTTCTTTCCTTTTCCAGAGATGATCCATATATTTACATGCAAAGTTTTTACGATTTACAAACTATTTTGTCATTCATTTGTTTTTCAGTCATAAATTTGTCAGCTTTTATATATTTTAATGGTGTTTGAATGCTGTTCTTGTTTTATTGCTCATTATTGTTTGTTAGGGTGTTTTAATTTAATCGTTCTCATTTCAGAAGTATTGACTACGCTCTCCTTTCGTAGACCTTGATCTTGTTTGGGAGACTGTATGACTGAATGCAGTGTGTTCTGTTCATACAATCCAGCAGTGTAACCACATGACGTGTGTCATAAGTGTAAAGGTGTTACAGTCATGTATGGTTTGAGTATTGATTCCCCATGCTTCTGCGCTGCTTACTGTCGCTCTGTAGTTAGATCTGTGTGTGTGTGTGTGTGTGTGTGAACCTCTGACCCAATGCTCACTCTCCTGTCTGCTCCTCAGATTGTGTCCAGTTTCAAAGCCACCACGTCTCGTGCAGTGTGTCAGCTGGTCAAGGAGTACGTGGGACACCGGGATGGGATATGGGACCTGGCTGTGACTCGGGTTCAGCCGCTGGTTTTAGGCACAGCTTCAGCCGGTAAATCTGCCACAACCACACTCACCTTACCCATTATTTTTTAATTCAGTTGAGTTTTTTTTTTTTTTTTCCTTCCAGAGATTAACCCTTGTATGTTTTATTGGCATTTTTGTCTTTCGTTTTTGTTTCTTTTTTCTTTAAGCAAAAAAAAAAAAAAAAACTTTGTTAATATGCTTTCAGTCTTTTGGCAAGGCTTCAGAATTTTTGCTATTTTTTACAAGTTACAATTTTTACTGTTTTCCATCTGATAACACCATTTTCTCAGGTTTGGAATTTGGAGCAAATGCTTGCTGTTTTTTTTTGTTTCTGATAAAAAAAAAAAGGCCAATTAAATTTGATTATTTTAATTGTGTGGGTGTATTGATATCAATATCAGAGTGTGTATTGAGATATTTGTGTGTGTGTGTGGTATTTTTCCTGACACTGTGCACTGCACAAAAATATGTTGCTAATCATTGATATATCCAAGATACACTACCAGCCAAAAGTTTTTGAACAGTAAGATTTTTTAAGTCTCTTATGTTCACCAAGCCTGCATTTATTTGATCCAAAATACAGCAAAAGCAGTAATATTGTGAAATATTTTTACCATTTAAAATAACTGCTTTTAAAGAAATTATAGAAAGTAATACTTTTATTTAGCAAGAATGCTTTAAATTGATCAAAAGTGAAATTTGTACTTTTTTTTGCTGTACTTTGGATCAAATAAATGCAGGCTTGGTGAGCAGAAGAGACTTCTTTTAAAAACATTAACAATCTTACTGTTCAAAAACTATATATATATTTTTTACTTTTATTGGTACTTTAATTAATAAAAACATATTTTTTTTTTGTAGCTGTCCCCACCTTTTTCTTTTTATTTCTTTACATTTTAAAAATTGCTGTGCTGATTGTCCTAAATAGCAAACTAACACTTCGATTCAAACTAGCTGGATTAATTTAGACAAATGCTTATTTAATTGTTATTGCTGATAAAAATCACACATTTTAAATTGTATTTAGATATGACTTAAATTTGAACAGTGCTGCTCATGTTGCAAAATGACACACTAATATATTGCTGTATACACTGCTGTTCAAAAGTCTGTCTTTATTTTCACTTTTTATGATCTGTTATGTTCATTCTGCTCTCCAAGGCTGAATTTATTTGTAAAAACAGTAATATTGTGAAATAATATTGTTTTCTATTTGAATAATTTAAAAATGTCATTTATTCCTGTGATGGTAAAGCTGACTTTTCAGAAGTCATTCTGTCATTCTTATTCTTTAGATCACTGTTGCATGCTGTGGAGTATTGAGACTGGGAAGTGCCTGCTAAAATATGCCGGCCACGCTGGATCAGGTACCAAGCTCTTTTCACATTATGTGTGTGTGTGAATATTTGTGAACTTTCATTTGGAGTTTGGTTTCTTCAGATTTGACATGCTCTGGGTTTGGTTAGTGTTAAGCATGTTGCATTGTTTTTAATGCACATTTGTTATTTTGTATTCTTGCAGTCAACTCCATTAAGTTCCACCCCACAGAGCAGATGGCACTTACAGGTAAACAACAGCGCATTCAATGGGTTTGACATATTTCCATGTGAAACATAACAATATATGTTCAATATAAATAAACAGAAAAAAAAAAGTATTACAGCCACCGTGGGAATGTTTTTTCAACCTCTAATTCGAGTAGAAACAATTAAATAATTTAAAATATTGCAAAAAAGTGAAAAAAATTGTCATATGTACAATTTAAATGTTTTTATGCAACTCAGTTTTTATTTGTGTTGATTATTAAATAAATTTGATTAATTGATTATTGAACACAATTAATTTTTAATTCTGGGTGCATCACTAATTTTGAGAATATTATGCATCAATTAATCATACACCTCAGGGACATTTATTATGAAAGCAAATAGAGTAATTTTCATTAAATAACAAATAATAACTAAGCATTATGGCGCCGTCCAGTGGTTATAACCTTCTATTACACATTAAAGACTGCATGTATGTGAGCGTCTGCTAATGCAGCAGTCACATCTCTTTACTATGAAGCTGTTAATGATGATTTATTTATCCCGTGACTGAAGGCTATGTTGCCTTTTAATATTTATTTTTCCATAAGACTGAAAAATAGATCTTTTTTTCATATCTCTATTTGTATCTCTCCCCCCCTCCTGTCAGAGGCTTTTAAATGTGATTTGATAGATGACTGTCCTTTTTTATATAATGCTCCATCTGTGTTTGTTTTGTCTGTTTCCTGACAGCGTCCGGGGACCAGACGGCACACATCTGGCGTTACATGGTACAGCTGCCGCTTCCCCAGCCCCCAGCAGACATCAGTGTAAGTGTTAAAACACACACACACAGATTAATCTTTTATTTGGATCCACAAGACAAGCAACAAAAACGGAATCCAAATACCTTGGGAAGTCAGTTTGCAAGATGACAGGTACACATGGCTAACATACATTCACAAGTCCTTATATTTATAACATTCAACACTCAAGGATAGACAAAACATCTTCGTTTCCATATCTGCATACTCCATATAGTGGCTGAAACTGAACAAAATTTTGCGAGTTTTTTTTTTGCTTTCTTTTTTTGCAATCCACTCAACTGCAGACCTTTAATCACATTCTTGTACACACACACACACACACACACACACAGACACAGACACACACCTTCACACACCCTTTTTTGTAATGATGCTCCTCCGAATCGTTGTCTCTCATCCAGGTGACTTGCTAATGCAAAAAGTCAACATGAATATTGAAATCAATATAATGTATTTGCAATTTTTGTGCTAAATTTAAAAGTGTATGTTAAGAAAAAAAGTTTGTTTTAATATTGAAAACATAATAACTTGCTCTACTTCTGAAAATATCTATAACTATCCTACATTTTTTTTCCCCTACGCTGAATATTCTGCTTTACTGAGAAGTGTGCCACATTAAAGCTGCACTTTTTATTGTGTTCAAAGTTTACAAAATTAATATAATAAGCGAGTACATCATAAATCCATTTTCCAAACCGTGCTTTTGGCTTATCCTGAATCACTATGGTACGGTACGGTATAAGTGTTTATATTCTGACTATTTCAGACTGGTTGGGGTAGGTACCGCTGGGGAGAAACCCCAGTACCTGCGTGATTCGTCATAGACATAAACAGAGAATTAGCTCCGGCTACAATGTTCTCAGAAGACACACGCAGTTCTGTTTATTAACCACTAGAGCGCCAAAAGTTACGGACTGCAGCTTAAATTAATTTATTCAAGAATTGCCGTAATTATCGTCTTTTTTCCCCATTGCGTTCCCATTTTTGTGTACTTAAAGCTACAAGATGTAACTCTTTTTGAGAAAAAATAAAAATAAAAATAATGAGTGCAAAACATACTTAATACTTTAACCAAATATATTCTGTTACATCTTTAATCTGTTTGGATTTTTAAGTTCAAGTTTTAGGATATTTTTGCCTTTTGCATTTTCCTTTTAATTTTAGGTTTTAGTAATTTTGTTTAGCATTTATTTTAGTAGTTATTGTTTTTTTTCTTGTTAATTATGCTAGCAACATGCTAGTCACTTGGTAGTCATGCTCGCAACATGCTAGTCACTTGCTAATCATGCTAGCAACAGGCTAGTTACTTGCTAATCATGCTAGCAACATGCTAGTCACTTGCTAATCATGCTAGAAACATGCTAGTTACTTGGTAATCATGTTAGCAACATGCTAGTAAAGTGTTAATCATGCTAGAAACATGCTAGTGACATGCTAATAACTTAATAATCATGTTAGCAACATGCTAGTCACTTGCTAATCATGCTAGTGACATGCTAATAACTGGCTAATCATGCTAACGACATGCTAGTCACTTGCTAATCATGCTAGCGACATGCTAGTCACTTGCTAGTCATGCTAGCAACATGTTAGTCACTTGCTAATCGTGCTAGCAACATGCTAGTTACTTACTAATCATGCAAGCAACATGCTAGTAACATAGTAACATGCTAATCATGCTAGAAACAGGCTAGTCACTTGCTAATCATTCTAGCAACATGCTAGTCACTTGTTAATAATGCTAGCAACATGCCAGTAACATGCTAATCATGCTAGAAACATGCTAGTGACATGCTAGTAACTTGCTAATCATGTTGTTTATATTGTAGTATAGTTTTATAGTAGTAAAATTCTTTCTTCAGTTTTAGTTATTTTAGTACAAGTTAAACTACATTCGAATGAGAAACGTTGCTTTGGCAGCTAGCTGAAATGAAATATTTTATATATTTTATTTTATTTCAATTAATGTTCGTTTTAGTAACAAACATGTTTTATAAGTAGCGCAAAGCTGAACAATTAATTTTGCAACAAATTAACAAAAAAAAAAAGACCATGGATCGTACAAAATGGCAAACCTCCTGGGGCAATCACTGGTTGTAAAACAAAAGAAATATTATTTATTGGCGCTAGGGATGTAAATTTTCGATAATTTCCATGATCGATTGTCGTTTAAATTAACGATCAATTAATCGATGCGCCGATAACCTCGTGGGCTGCGCATCTACATATAGCGCAGTTACACTTCGGGCGTCCCGTGTTCGAGTCCCGGCTCTCGGACCTTTCCCGATCCATCCCCTCTCTCTCCAACTTCGCTTACTGTCTAACTACTGTCCTATCAAATAAAGGCAAAACGCCAAAAATAAATCTAAAAATTAAAATGTCCTGTATCCATGTGTATTCATTTGCACAGTGGAGCAGAGATGAAACAACCAAAATTACGGCCTTTTACAAGACGTATACAGTTTTATTTTTTAACTGCTATAGGCCAAAAGGCTCCGGTTTCCTCCCGCAGCCCAAAGACATGCAGGTTAGGTGAATTGAACCTTCTAAATTGTCCCCGGACGTGTCTGGTGGGAGGAAAGCAGGTGGTCACTGCTTCCTGGGATAGAGCCGCCAACCTCTATGATGTAGAAACCTCTGAGCTGGTGCACACCCTCACAGGTAAACCAGCCACCGCTCTTCTCTACTGCTAAACGGGTTGCTTTTGTTGGGTTCCTTTGCCAGGGTTTCAGGGTCAAATAGCTCTGTTTTACACGTGTGTGTGTGTGTGTGTGTGTGTTTGCAGGTCACGATCAAGAGCTGACCCACTGCTGTACTCATCCCACCCAGCGTCTGGTGGTCACCTCATCCAGGGACACCACCTTCCGCCTGTGGGACTTCAGAGATCCCTCCATCCACTCAGTGAACGTCTTCCAGGGCCACACTGAGTAAGTCACATGATCTCTAGTCTCACATGCCAGACATTTCACTGTCTACATAAAATATGTTGAAACAAAAATGTAACAAATGAAACAAAAACTAGTGCTGTCAAACGATTAATCGCGATAAATCGCATCCAAAATAATATAATAACATAATAACATAATATGACACTTGCCAAGTGCCAAATGGAAGTAAAATTGGTGCCAAATAAGAGTAAAAATGAAATCTAAGTAATGCAAAAGCTCTTCTAAAGTCAAGATCAGTGACTGTCGGCCATCTGCTCACAATCTGACATTTTGCTAGCAAGCCAAAAGACTTTATTGTCATAACTCCAGAACTCGGTGTGGCAAGACATTTTTGACGAGAATATATGGGACAAAGTCTGTAAGGATCTCAACAGTTTTGTGCCTGGCTGTAGCCTCTCACTTTAACAAATCTATATTAAATATGAATTATCTAGCCAATAGATAATAAAATAGAGAGCCAATAGAGACAATAAAATGTATTCTTAATCAAAAAGTGCAAAATATGAAAATACTTTTTCATGACTGGGAAGAAGTAATTATAGCTGATAAATATCAGTGGTATTGTTACCTAAAACTAATAAAAAATAAAGCAGAAATGAGGTTAAATATTAGATGAAAAACTAATAATAATAATAATAATAAGTATGGAAATGATTAAAACCATTAAAAAAATGCTACTTAAAACAAAAACAAAAACAAAACAAACTAAATGAATAAATAAATAAATAAATGTAAAAAAAAACTACTAAAAATGACACATTACAGAATTACTAAAACCTAAACCTATTAACTTAAAATGAAAACAAAAAAATATTTAAATGAAAACTATATATATATATATATATACAGTGGGTACGGAAAGTATTCAGACCCCCTTAAATTTTTCACTCTTTGTTATATTGCAGCCATTTGCTAAAATCATTTAAGTTAATTTTTTTTCCTCATTAATGTAC